CCGTATTATACTTTAATAACTTACTTCTTTACTTTTAAATAAATTATTTTCGTCATTTTAAAAGTCGTATTTGTTTAAAAGTAGTATACTGTAGGCAACATTTGATGCACCATGTGAACAATTATTTACTGATTACTGGGATAAATATGAAGAATCAGCTTATAGAAACAAGAATACATCATTAGCTCAGAAGATTGCTACATTTACACCAAATGTCGAACTTATTCATGTAATAATTAATAGATTAATTTATATGCAAATATTTTTTTCTAATGTTAACAAAATTTTAAACTTAATGCATTAAAAAGTATTCCTTTGAAAAAGAATCAAGTATTTATATAGGAAAGAAATAAAGTTTCACACTGCGTTTATAAATAACGAAAAAATCTTTCAAGTTCCTTCGCAGATATTCCAAATGAAATTGCTAATCCTATCATCGATTTTTTTAGCACGCCGTAAAAGATTCTGGAATCGTGAAAGGTCGAGATTTTGTGATGACAAGAATTCACAGAAGAATAAACAATGAAATCATTGTAGCAGTTCGTAGCTATGATACTGATGAAATCAAGCCGCACAAAAAGAAGATCAGGTTATTTTGACATCAACTGCCTCAAACTAAACGCAGTAGTTATAAAGCGATAAATCCATTGTTACTTTCCGTAGACAATACTTCCTTCCCTTGACAATATTTTCTTTTTGATTCTTCAACTCACAATATCACTTCCATTGCAGAAGCAGAATACTACTTGGTGGTGGCCGCTTCCGAATCCACCCACAAGACTCCCAAAAATCAATTATAGATTTCCTTATCTGCCTGGACTACAGTAGTATCGACCTAACAAAATCAGTTCTCGAATCAACAATATCCAAACATATTTTGCAAGACACTGAATGGATACGTAAAGACATCGAAAAACATAGAAGGGGTGAAAGTAATAAATGAACTTGATCCGACCGATCTTGATACTCCTTTTGCAATCACCATATTGCATTCATTACAAAATTGTATTCCTACTAGGCTTTTAACTTCAATCTCATTGTGAAGGGCTGAGTAAGTCCTTCACTGCAGCTCTTACTATGCAATAATACTGGAATACTTCACGCTTTGTTGGATAATCTCATTCAAATTTTCGACACCAAATAAGTACCTTTACTTATATGTAGTGGATACAATGTTATCCAAACAAATTTATAGCAAAGCAAATCTGACCAAGCTTGAGTGCATATATAGTCATAACTCCTAAATAACCGCCAAATAAATGTATTCAATCTAGGATAGCTATCATTCTTTCTCAAAACTATGAACGCGAATGCACAATAAGCTGCATGAAAAGGAAAATATACATGCAAACTCCACAATAAACAGTCCTTAGTGTTGTGTGACTACCAAAAGATTTTATTTACCAAAAATAACAAAACAAAGAGCGAATAATCTCAACTTGTAAGATCAATAAACAAATACTAAGTCGTTTTCGATATCGTCTCCTCACAAATCACTAAGAGTAAAGATGTTCAAACCGATGTTCGAAACTTTGCTTCTCGTTACTGATGCATTCGTCTGGTTTAAAACACCAAAACTTTGCTGTTGCTGCTGATCCGATTTCAATATATCGCTACTGATTGCGTAATCCATGGGCATTTCAAAGTAAAGTGCTTCAGTGAGACCGCGTCTCACAGTTTGCTCACGACATCACTTCCGTTTTCGATCATCAGTTTTGTGTTTGCTCCGCAAATACTAATTGCACCGTATTTGTAAGCCCTGACGAGCAATGTGAACAAAAATGAAAGGTGGAGGTAATTCTGCACCTTAAATGAGGAGCGATAAAATGAAGGGATACGTCAACTTTCAGAGAGAATATAGATGAGTTGTAAGTAACGACGAAAGTGGATGTAGTTGCACAAAGGAATGGGGGTATTGAAGTAGGAGTAAGAAAATAAAAAATTTAGTTAAGTCTAAAGGGAGGGAAAGGTTTCAAATATTCAAAATACAGAAGGGTTTGAAAAACTAAAAAAAAATGAATGCCTCGAAAAAAAAGAAAACGCACAAATTACAAAAGATTAGAAAGTTTTAAAATACTAGCTGCATCTCCTGTCACCTTACAGAAAACTGCGACCTAATGACGACGACGTGGTGATCGAGATTTGGAACGCCTCCGATCACGCTGCCCTACTGGCGAACGCGATCTTCGACGAGATGGAGTGCGAGAACGTCGATGAGAGGGAGAAGATTTAACGTGAATCGCTTTCTTCGCACTCATCTTCTCTTTCACTGGTTCATCAATTTCTTTACGTTTCGATACTGCCCCATTCTGAGAAACTTTCTTGGCTAATTCTGCTTCTAAAGCTTTTCGCTTGATACGTTCAACAATCTAAATTTATCGCATAATCAAAAAACGGTACATGAACTCATATCAAATTAAATAAAAGTAGTGTAAAAAGGACTGATACATTAACATCAGACTGATGCATTGATAATGTTACAATGAATAGTTTGATAAAAAACTAAAACGAACCTGTTCTTCTGTGAGAGGTAAATAATATATAGCTGGTTGAGTTTTTGTCTTTAAAAACAATTCATCTGCGGTTTTGACACGTTTTTCTGGTTCTGAAAAGCTAGTGAAACAGTTTTTACTTACAGAACGTATAAAATACAAAGGTCTAGGCACTACCAAGATACATTACTTGAAATTTTGTTTTTGAACCAAGTCTAGTAAAACAAACCGCCTGATTTCAATTCGGAAGGAACGGGAGAAGAGTAGGGTTCATCCCTCCACGGAGATCGCCGTCTGCGAGATCGTTTCACATCCGTACGCTTAAAATTGTGTAGTGATGAAATAGGGAAATAATAATGAAGAAAAATATACTTATTAGACTGTGAATTTTCTAAGTGTTCCCAATTAACAAAGTCAGATGAAAAATTTTTAATATAATTAATATGACATAAAATTTTTAACAGTATCCATAAAATAGAAAAAGTAATTACGCCTATTGGTGAAGCTGAACGTTTTCGTCCTCTAACTTCATGTTCACGTCTTTCTCGCTCTTTTTTATCCGAATCTTTTCCTGACTCCTCTTGACTGGCTGGTTGAACATGTCTTCGTTTTTCATCCACGCTTAATTTTACACGAAGTGCTGGAGTTGATATCTCTGATGATTTTATTTCTGCACTTGCTTTAGAATTTCCTTCATTTTGCGACTGATCAGCAGCAATGTGCTTGGCAAGCTGTACCATGAAAATTTTTAAAAATGGCATGCAAGTCACTTAAAAATAAAAAATCTGCAAAAAAAGAGTCCTTACGTTTGCATCATCTGAATAATCGATTTTCAATGTTTTTGGACTACATGGTGGCCAAACAACATTATGAAGGCGCCCTCGAGCTACGATAGCTTCTTCTACAGTTGAATACTGCAAAAACATTACTGATTTGAATATATTCACAAATTATAACTTTCACCGCTTCTGTGCCACGGACTAGCTTTTTTAAAGTGTATACCTTTGCAATACAAGTAGATTTGATGTTATCGATCCAAAAACCTCCTTCAACAATCGTACCAAAAATTGAAAGTAGCTGCTGTAACTGCTTAACTGTGTAAGGACGAGTGAGTTGCCTGATCATTATCACCTACAAAACTAAGTAGCTTGAAACTATACAGAACTGCACACATTTTTAGTTCATATATAAGAAAACTAGTGTTGCAAATCATATGTGTGTTATGTTTCAAGTAATAGAGAATGTCATTATAATTTGATGAAAAAACAAAAATAAGTTCAAAAAGAAAAGACATAATTTAATCAGGTAACAGTACACAAATAACATGAAACAAAGCATTATGATTACTTTCTGAAAACCTAATAGCTTAAAAACTAACTTGATTAACGGGATATCGAGCTGGTGAAACTTGTCGTTCACGGACAAAACCATCCATTGTTGTTTGATTTTCTGCTTGTTTCTCTGGCGTAGGGGAACGTTTGTGCAGTCGTGAACTATCTAAGAACAATAAAATCCATTATAAACACTTAAAATTACCACTAAGTTTTCATTCTAAAATCCTATACCTAACATAAACGAAAAGTAAACAAGAACAATGAAATACCGAAGACCAGTCTTAAACATAACGAAGGCATGTAAACACTGATATAGGTAGAGCACGTCTGCACTCTAAAAAAATGTTCTTCAAAATTATCAATTCTTGAATTGATGTCATGTTTGAACTTTGACTCATCATATTTCAAATTTTAAAATAAAAGCGAAAAAAATTTCCCAACGTAATTAAATTAAACAAAAACAAATTCACTCAGCACCACATGTCTAAACTTTTAACATTCCAACCTGCGCGTTTCGCATGTCGTTCAACTCTTTCAAGCATTTTTTCCTTATGCCTTTCAGCCACTTCCTCAGCAGCCTGCAAAACATATCTAAAACACCGCCTTATTTTGGACAGACAACTCACTCTTCTAATTTCTTTAGTAGAATCAGAGATTAGAAAATATAATTTGACCATTTCTCGTAATAATTATTCTAATGAAGTTGAGAACCAATTAAAGGAAGATAATGCTTTCAGACTGATACCTTGACTTCTTCAGCTACTTCTGCAACTGAGCTTTGCATAGGTTCTTCATAATCTAATTCTTCCATTCTGTCCTTTGTGTCAGATAATTCTTCTTTGAAATCAATTGAAGTTTGCGTATCAAGTCTATCTTCTTCTTCGTCAATTTCAATTCCTTCCTCTTTCTGCTTGCCAATTGAAACAGTTACAACACTATTTGGAAAATGAGTTGCCTCATATGGTTTCCAACGGCGTTTCTTTTCCAATGAGACAGTTTCCGCGGCTGAAAATTTAGTGCTATGAAAAAGATATTTGAAAAAAATATACATATTTTCATAACATACTATAGTATGCAATGACCCAAACGTCTGCATTTTAGATAGAACTGCATTTTAAAAGTATGCAATCAGCTTTATGATTTCAAAATTAAAAGTAAATTCACTACTAGTTTCTAAGATGGCTGTAGTTTCTTTCACAGTTTCCATATCGTCAAAATTTTCAATTAATTCAATACCAGCTATTCCTGCCTAAAAAAATTGCAAAATTAAATTAAAAAAGAACTGTGATCACACTATGGAAAACAAAGAGATGACCGACAGTTTAGCATTAATATATACAGCACAACGTCCACTATGTTTAGATAGTGATATTGATAAATATTATGATGCCTGCAACTGCTTCAAAAAACTACTATGTATGAAGCATTTTGAAGGACATTTAAAAACATCAAAAAAACTGTATCAATATAGAAAGTGATAGTTTATAAAAATATTTTCAGAAATTTACTTTTTGGTCTCCTGAATCGGGATGTGCCTGCTCCGAAAATGGACCAATGGAATCATCTGCAGCCTCGCTTCCACTTCGACTTTACAAAAATTGAAATAGTGAAACACATAAACGTTAAATGTTCTTGGCAAATAAATAAAACATTATTACCGATAAATTTTGATCTTTTTTTTTTTGAATGAAACCACTCCCGAAACCTCCACCACGATTCAGAACTATATATAAACTAAAGAAGTTATAGATGATACTTCAGATATATACCTCGATTCATTCGTATCACTGTCACTATCATGCGCATCTGACACAGCAGGTTCACTCTTTTCTTCCATGTCATGCTTGTCTTTCATTTCTTGTTCTTCAAATATATCCTCAGAATTTGTATTATATGAATCAATATCCACTGAATCTATCGAATGCTGAACATCAACCAGTTTTGAATCATCATATTCAGTTTCTGTCCGTTCCGTCTCTTCAGGTGTTTTCACATCTGCAGAAACTGAAGCAGAATCTACAGAATCATCTATTTTATTTGGCGAAACTCGAGAGAGCATAGTATCATCATCTTCCGTGCTTTCAGCGTCATTCGTTCCTAGCTGTGGCTCCATACTTTCCTAAAATCTTTGAATATGAATTTCATTCCCTTTTCAATGAAAATTGCAAAAGTTGTAGCATGACTAATAATGAAAACGCAACTGCTTCACAGTGTTATAGAACACTTTACAATTTCTTAGGAGTGGAACATGAATAATATACTCCACCTTCTAATTTTCACTATCTCAATCAATTTTGATTAAGTAAGAATGAGAGCCAAAACCTGTTCAGTTTCACTGGTCACTATAATTTCTGTCCCCTTCTCTTCAGTAACACTACTTGTACTCACAGAAGCTGTGGACTCACGACGTCCACGTCGAGAACGACGTACAGTTGAAGCAGTTTTTTCATGCATTGGTGATCCATCATCTCCAGATGATGCTCTTCTTACTGCTTCTACAAATTTAATAACTTCTGATCTCCCTTAAATAGAAAAAGATTACCTCAGCAGTCAGTCAATGCTATAGATAGCTTTCGTCAGTAAAATAACAAAGATCTTGAAACACAAGCAGTGTATAACAACATTTAGCAAACCTGCATCTTTGCGAGCTTCACGCAATGCCGTTTGCTGTTTGGCTAGATATTCTGCAACTAGTGGATTGGGAGGTGAAGTCTGAAATATAATACAGTATAAGATTCAACGTTTCATGAATCGTCACAAAAACATTATTTGTACTAAATAAATAACAAACCAAGTCTCTTTGAGGGCTCTCTACAGCCGTTGACTGTGATTCACTTTCACATTTTGCATTTAACTCAGCAACGAGATGCTGTAATTCGCAAACTGTAGGTAATAAGATCTACAGCAAAAATATATATATATAAAAACAGTTTGATAAAAACTAATTTTAATTTAAAAAAACCAAAAGCACAACAAATTGCATTAGATGACCCATAAATTTTGAAACACATGAGTTCCAAAGTGGACAAAAATGGCCATCATCTATAAAATGCATTGAACTAAAATGGCCAAATTTTAACCTGACATAAAGTTACGTTAAAATTTGTACCAAATATCATGTTAACTAAATTTTTTTTGGACTGACTCTAATAACTATCATTTTTTTGATCATAATATGATAATTAAAAAACTTATATCTGATTACAACATTATTTAAGTTATTACAAGCAATTTCTTTTATGTTTTCATACAAGTTTATTCAACAGTACTCTACTATTAAAAATGTGCATATATCACCACATTTTCATGATGATAATAATTAATGTTAGCAATATCCTGAAATTTAACTAATAAAATTATATATTAAAAATAGAAACAATAAAATGTAATAATTAAGCAAAGAATAAGTGATGAACCATAAACTAATCATAATTTACAACTACATCTAACTAAAAATAAACTTCTTTAAGTCGTTCATGAAGAGCATTTTTGTTGCCAATTTTAGACAGCCCACGCTTGCCTAATTCTTCCTTCAATTCGACAACTTTCATTTCCGAGATAGCTCGACCTTCTATTGTTAACTCGCTTTCATCACACATAATTATATCTGCAATTCCAATAAATATTTTACTTTAAATTTGATAAACTTTATTACTTCAAATTTCTTCCACATATACTCAACAAAGCCAAAATGTTAAAGATAAAAATTGCTCACACTTCTTGCACATAAAATAAATTACATGCACAACAAACAGCACCAAAATTAGCAAAATAAAGTATGAAAAATGCTTAACACACGTATATGTTAGTTAACAACGAAAAAACAACAACCAATACCTAACAAGTATACTCTTGTGCTGTTCGGGGACTTTTTCAACATACTTGCAACACGATACGACACAAGTTTAAATTTTACGGATGGTCGAATTTATTTCATTTAGTTTTGATTGTCAAATATACTAATTACATTCAACCAATCAATATCACAAAACTCAATATCACAGCAACGAATATCACAACAATCAATCAATATACGCATACAATCTAACAAATATGAATACAATTTAACAGACAGAAAAATATGTACTTATCAGATATCTACGAAAATTTAATAGCCATTATGATAGAATACTATGACACTGGTTTGTATAGTGCAGCGTAATAATCACGCATTGAAAATCGAGATTTCGCGTGTAACGCTGTTGCTTTTAATTTTATTTTTTACGTTTTTTAAGTCTGCAATAGTAGAAGAATATGTTGCTTCACACGTGGAGTGTCACATTTTGGTTTATGCAGGTTCTCGGTTATGTAGTGAGGAAATAATGCATGATTTGGTGATATTTGCTGAAGTTTTTGCTATTTTAATGTTTTATAACTTCACTACTTCACACCATAATTTAGTTACTGTACGTGTTTAGCTAAACATAAGCTTACAGGTCAAATTTTGGTTATGATATTCCTTGCTAAACTTGGCTTATTATTTCTTCATTTAACGTGATTCTTTCTACATATATTGGGAACGTAGCGGTGCTCATTGCAAGTTCCTTATTACTGTGTATTTACGAGAATCTGAAGACCCTGTCATCGAGAAATTTTTCTTATATTATTCTCGAGCGTGTTAAATGTTACTTTAAATTGGTGAAAGTCAATGTTGCTAGCCCAGATACCACCATAATTTGACTGGTATTCAGTTCTTATTCTGAAACTATTCGTCCCGATATCACAGCATTTCAAGTCGAAAAAATGGAAGTCATTGGGACTATATGGGTTGGCTTATGCACTTTGTGAGATAGCAGCTTGAAACTGCCACTTTATGTTGTAATATATCGCACATTGTTTTCCACACATCTTCTATGCGATCCACAGCTGAGATATTGCGAACATCATGCAGGGACTGTGGAATGGCTCTGGTTCACAGAGAGTGAATTTCATATGTATACTGTTAAGTCATTTGATTTGGGTCAATTATTTTAATGTACTGTAGTGATAAAATAATTGATAATAAAAAATATCAAACCACATTTCATGCTTATTGCCAATTCCTATCACGTAAAAAGGTGTCAGGGATTAAGTCCTACTCTCCTTTTTGGTGGTAAAGGAAAATTTTCTCCATTTTTAGAAATGCAAAGGTCTCAGCTTAATTAAAGTCCGAATTATTGGCACGAATGCAGCTTGTTTAATTGACGCAGAGGAGTAAAAAGAATGCTATTTTATTTAGAATATACCAGTCAAACTCAAATATTCTACATGACAATATAGCAACCATGACCATGTGAACAGAAAGAAAAAAGGCACAAGACCGGTGATATTGAACGAAAGTAAAACATTAGGTAATGTAAATGATTTAGTTGCATTTCCTCACTGAGATGTGCATAGTAATTTCTGAGAAAACAGCTCGTATATTTATCTATAACTCCTGCTATTCTACACAAATCAGTAGGCATGAAAAATAGCGGATTATAGAAAATCCGAAGAAAACTATTCAAGAATCCTCCTCAACTGCTTCCTTGTTTTCTTCAATCTCATCTTTAACCATGTCGCTTTTGGAATCATGAGACTTTTGATGGAAAACAAATGTTATATCTCCGCAGTCATATATTCTTTTTAGCACCTGGAATATTGCTATAAAATGAAACAGTAATGGTTTTAAACAAATCAGTAAGCACAAAAATGTACGCACTTTTTGTTATCTCTAAATTTTTTCGGTATTTACGATCTAAAAAAGGCATTTTTAATCACTCACTTGATCCGGTACTTTACGTAGATCTTTTTGGACGTGATACCATTGACTGAGATCCGAGTTTGTGTCAGACTCTTCCTGAGGTTCTCGGAATTCAATACCATTTACACATCGATCACACTTTAATCTGGATACAAATTATTAACTGTAGCACAGCAAAAAATATCAAAGCAGAATCCAAAAGTGATCAAGCATTTTACAAGGTGGGCGCAAGTCATTCAGGTTATCGTCATTTATCTCGTAGCTGGACTAATTAGTACAAAAACAGTTTCTCAGTCAAATAAAAACTTACGAATCATGTGTGTCTGATGCGACATCCGTCTTTAGATTAAATAAATGACGTAACTGGTCTTTGCTAAAATGTCGTGCCACATTGGAGACTTCGTCTACCACACAAGATGACAATGCTTTCTTATGCGCTTGCCTTTGAAACATCTTTTCTTCAATAGAACCTGTCTGTAAATAAGATAAAATATGCCGAATTAAATGCCAAATTGGATGATTCTGACTTATTGCTGTTGATTACTTCGAGAATACTAATGTTCACACGTCACTTAACGAAGAGAAATGAAACACATCTTACAAATTAATACGTAGGATTCTGACACATGTACCGTACCGCAAGGAGCCGATAAATGAAACAGTTTTTCTTCTGTCCATCTCTCCATACTCGTGCCATAGCCTGATCGTCATTTGCAGGATTCCAATCCGGATCAAACATAACAAGCCGATTTGCGCCAATCAAATTCAACCCACAACCACCAGCTTTTGACGATAACAGAAATACATATTCGGGACTCTAAAACTGTTATATACAAAAACTATACTGAGATTTCCAATTTTGCTTCTCCCACCCCACACAATATAGACACCACTAAAGTTATATTCATATCTTACTTTGTCTGCAAAGACAAAAATGAATGAATGTCTAAAGTGTGACTGAGAAATAACAGATACTTTTAAAGTAATCAAACCTCTGGACTGTTAAACTGTTCCACTATTTTCGCTCGCTGTTTAATTGAACAACTTCCATCCAAGCGAACATAAGGATAACGACGAAGTTGACATAGCTTAATTTATACGCCAGAATCAGGATTTCTCTTAAGTTATGGCGATATGTCTTCAATCCAAACATTCGAAATTATGTAAAATTTTCAGGTTTGTTTAACCTTTTATTTTCGGAGCAGATTTTTAAAAATTGAATCGCTTTCAAAAATGGAACTGTTGCATCAGTTAGAATTAAGTACACAAAATCAGAATTTCGTTAAAACTGAAAGTCTACCTCGACAAATGCGTCTATTGTTTGTGTATAATTAGACACAAGAACAAATTTATCGCTGGTGGTAGCTCTTGTAGCTGCTAACAGATAGTCAAGGACTTTCATTTTCCCAGATAAAGCCGGCTCGAATTTCCCGCCAAAATCATTGGGAAACAATCTTAAGCAATCTAAAATGTAGCACTGAAAATAACATACCTAGCAGCAATTTTATAGCTACTTACACTTTATATGAAGTAAAACACAACCTTCAAATCCTTCTTCTCTTTTCTGACACTTGTCAAATATCAGCTGTGGATGATTGCATAATTTCTTTAAGTTTGTTATGAATGAAAGTGCTGTGCTTGTCATTTTATCACCTAGAAAATGAACACACAAATACTGCTTTCAACAACAAATAAAAAGAAATTTTGTAGAAAGGCTTAGCATCTATATGCAAAAGAAAATACAATTACCTTCAATCACCTTCTGTTTGGTATTTCCTGATAATGTACCAATAAGTTGTTTGTACAATTTTTCCTGTAGTCCTGTTAATTTACAGCAAACGATAAGTTCATATTTGATCTAAAAACGAGATATAACATACATAGATGACTTCATTTAGTTTCATTTCAGCTCAGGATTTCAATCAATGTAAAAATAAAACAAACCGGAAGATATTTCGTGAGCAGTGCAGATGTTCTTCTAATGATACACTTACTCACAACAGATGACATTTCAGCAAGAGCAGCATCACCCTTCTCACGTTGTAATTCCGTTGCATTAGCATCTCGACCTCGTAGAATAACATTTTCGAAACGTCGTTTGAATTCCGAAGCTGTACCAAGCAAACCAGGATTTACAAAGTTCACCAAACTAAAGAAACACCTATTAATAAAATTTCAACAATAATTTTCGATTTATTTCAATGTCTGTTAATACATTACTGTGGCATCATTAAACAGACAACAATATATTCTAATGGTTAAAGCTGTTATCGAAAGTTTCCGGCGAAAAAATAAATTACCTATAGTATTCAAGGAGATCATTTTGGATTGGAGTGCCAGAGATGAGTACTCGTCGTTTACACTTCAAACTAGAAAGCGCTTGATATGTCTGGTTATCACTATTTTTTAATCGATGACCCTGAGATGTAATTTTGCCATTGGACTCTATTATTACGTTTATAACTGAACTAAATTATGCATCCAAAATAGCTCCTTATTAATCGATATGGAAATGGTAACAATTAAATATACAAGAGTTGTAACGAGATATTTTCTTCATTATATCACTACAGTGAAAAGCGTTCATTAGGAAAAGAAGAATAAAATTAAGGAGATAGATAGTCAACTAATATCAAATGAATAAGCTGTTGATATCATTTAAATTTATGAGATATTGAGTAATGCAATAAACCTCGTCACAAATAACTAATCCGATTTCTTTTTGCAGCAAAACAGTTACATGCAATCGAAAGGTTTCGTAGGAAATAATTAGCACGGGAGTAGGACAGCGTACTCCAATTTGAAAGATGAACCTTTCTGCAACATTAATTTTTGCAGTGTTAAAAGAAAATATGTTATTAAATTCTTATTTCGTGACGATTTGTAATCGATCCTATTCATCACAAGATTCTTAAATGTTTTGTACCTCTCATTAGGCTCATTGTTCTTGCCTTCTAATACATACAAGCTTTACAGAATTGCTTGTAATACAAATATCCTTTCTTGCAAATCATATTTTTGAGAGAGCAGTGAAATTAACAAGCCTAAAGTTTTGTCGATTTCGTCTTTTTTACCAGAATCTATAGCTAACGCATTCACTCGACCTCCAAGCCACTTTCTTATTTCCTTATCCCAATTCTGAAAGCAAAAACTTGCTTGGTCATACTGAATATCACTACATGCTTGTTGAAATTTGTGTGGTACTTTGGAGCTCACTTTTTAAATTAAAAACTGAAAGATAAAAGAACGAAACAATTGCTCATGGGGAAGAAATTTGACCCTCCACACAAAAGTTTCGAATAAGATAAAGTAATTTGACACAATTATGAATCCTAACCACTTAATATAACTACTTCACTTCTCCAGAAAAAAAGCTTCCCCTCTCTACGCTAAAATACTATAACGAAATGTACAGTGTATTTCTCCAAGCAAACAGTATATTGACCTTGACGAGACTACTAGGGCAGACGATTACTGCTTTACTTAGCGTTGGCTTAGCATCCGGTCCTTGCCTCTAAAGTATTTGAATTTTAATTAGCAATATTGTTTTCCAATTGGTAAGAATTTTAGTTGTCATCTATTAAGAACGCTGCAAATCACTAACTCCATTTTTCGCCTTTATTTTTATCCTACAAATACTATCATCTTGAAGAAAGATTCAATTCTATGACATTCTTCAAGTTGTTTTCACTGTGAACATTTCCTGTCAAGGTTACAGTAACAGGAAAATTTTAAGATGGCATTTTACACACTTTCTACACATCATTCAAATTCGCTATATTTCAGGGACAATTCCCACTCAAAAACTGAACCTAAGTAGTGTATTACGTTCAGCTCTGTTTCATAATAAATCATCAGCAATGACGCACGTGCAAACAAACCAGAACCACAATGATGATATTATTTGTCAACACTAAATCAATTTAGAAATTGTTGCTTGCATTTCCGGCACAACAAATATAACTTTTGTTATCTCGAATTGTAAACAGGCACTATGACTGATCTACAACACAATGTACGTATCTCGAATTGTAAATAGGCACTATGACTGATCTACAACACAATGTACGTACGAGTAATGTCCACATTAAAGTGATACACTGCAATGTTTTGCCCAAACCCATCTCATCAGCCATGATGCAACCATGAGAGGATGGTATACGAGCGCCTGTGACACAGTCATACATAAATTTCACACCTTCCCGTTGATGAGGCCGTAGAATAGAACTCAGCATTGGATCCACCACGACATGTACCTTACAAAAACATTTCAGCAGTTTAAGGAATATCATTGCTTGAAAACAAATTTCTTGCAGAAGCAACTATGTTCCGCAATAAATCAGGGCATGAATCCCACGAAATATTCACCTGCTTGTTGCTATCAATCTTAAGAGCATCATGAGCACTAAGTTCGGGAGGAGTAAATAATACCAGTGCTCCCTCAACATATGGATCGAACAATGCACATCGAGTTGTAGCATGGCGAAGTCCAAGAGGACGAGGCCTCCCAGAACCTAATAATGTTAAGACGGATCTTCATGTTAATTTAATGATCACAACCAGTGTTAGGGAACAGAAAACTGAAGAAACAAATTAAAGTGATCATAATAAAGTGGTTGCTGGTGAAGGATATCGGCTAGGAAATACGGCTAGTAAGCAATTGACCCGAGAAACGACATGTGTCAACAAATTTACCGACACATGTTCGAAACTACGGGTTAACTGACAGCCGCCATGCCGACTCGGTAATGACAGTGTATTGAGTGTAGCAATTTAGGGCTGTTTGAATTGGTAAGTTGAAAATATAAGCAAAAACAAAAATTACACGTATAGTTGGGAATTGGTACTTTGAAAGGTTTGCTAAGAAGTTTAGCTACCAGTGCTTCATGATCTCCCTCTTCTTTTCGTAAAGTATCATTTGTCACAACAAGCAGCACTTTACGATAAGAACTTCGCAACTCATCTCGATCATGATTCTCATCATTCTGAAATAACTGCTTGCAATGCATGTTAACAAAACATAGTCTCTTTTTTTTTAATATTCATCACAAAATTGGCATTTCATCCTTCATCTGATCATACCTGGACAAACTGAGTTGCAACTCATTGCAAAATATAAATAATAGTAGGACTCTACAATATCAGCCACAGTGAAAACTGCAACAGTAAAAGTACATTTCCGGAACAATAACTGAACAAAACAAGGAGTGAATTTTAATAAGAACAATGGGATAAAAGCATGAAATATGGGACTTTCTAGCTGAAGACAATTTCACCCAGAACCCCTCATTTAGATGCGCAAAATATAAGTGGGTGAGGATACATTAAAAAGGACAAAGAGAACCAAATGTACAAAGAAAAGAGATTAAAATGATTACGTCACAATGAAATACCTTTTGACGAGATGCTGAACGTCAGAGTGTGGCTTTCCCGTGCACCGAAATGTGTGACGCAATTTTTGCACACATATTCGGAGCTACGGGTAGGCCATACGCCAACACAGCTGAAAGGATGGAAGTAAATTAGCGAGAAGTCAGAATTACTAGTACACTCTCACCATTATCTTATATTTCACACGACTGATCAGAATCAAAGATCACTGATTACAACAGATGGAGAGCGATCAGATGAAATAACGCAATGGATTCATTTAAAGAAATAAAACTAACTCCCAATGAATTCAATTTATGCTTTTTTCGTTGCTTCAACTTCTTGATGTCGTAGCTCGCATTGCTGCATGACAACGAGGAAGCTTCACTGACAGTGGAAGGAGCCAAACTTCGTCGCTTAACAGAGTGAGGTGAAAGTATATATTACTCTAAGTAAAATATGAATATGAATAAAATTAAAAACGCAATTGTTGTATTAAGGATAAGAACAGAATCAGTTATTTACAGCTTTTTATAAAATAAAAGTTACCATTGATTGGTAGTGATAGAAGTGTGATGAGAAGAGACATTAATCACGGTGATAACAATATACAACTAAGATTTACTACTGCCAATTTATATACGAATACTTCTGCTAAAAATACAATACTTTCCTTTTTCAAAGTATGGATTGTCTGCAAACATAAAAATGAATTTCAACAGCAATTAGTAAAAACGCAGCTAAATATGAAAAACAAAGAATGCAGTAGTGCATAAACTATCAAAGGCAAGCAAGAAAATTTACTGTTACTTGTATTTTGCTACAGTGAAATGATAATCAAAAAGTTAACAGCAAACGGTATGTTTAATTCAATTCCAACACTGCTATACACCATTTGTGACATTTGTATACATCAAGGACGAAGTATTAGCGTGGAAAAATTTTTTTTAGTGTCACAGGAGGTAGAACAATGGAAGTACAAACATACCAAACACAGAACAAAAGAAGACAAGAAACGCGTCTAACCTCAGCAAGATATTTCTATCGCATTCTGCATAAATTAAGTGAAGTAGTAGACGATAGCAGGCAAAGGAGGAAAGAAGGGAGAGTATGACATAGCAACTCTGCGGGCGGTGCAAATAACTCCCTACTCGCTTATAGCGACATCACACGAGGCACTTTCGCAAACAAAATCCCCCTACGCACAACCTGGCACCAATTCGTTGTCGTAATCTAAGAAATGCGTGAAGGTGCACATACATGCGCACTACTAGGCAGGGAGACAAAACGGAGAGGTGGACAGACACACACACACGTGCATGCATAACGAGAGCAGCCCGCATATCCGATGCATATATAATTGAAATATCATTCGTTACCCCCTCCCTCAATGCATAGAAGACCTTCACCTATCCCCCACACGACAACAACATAGTAGCAATAGTAGTAGCAGTAGGTCTTTTCTCTCTACGCCATCAACAACAGTGGTGTTGGGCATCTCGTCAACAACATAAATTCTTCTTCATTACTGCTATCTTCCTTATCACCATAGCTATCATTATTATCTTGTTTACCGTGATTGCACTCATTATTGTATATCTCTGTTAAAAATTAGTAAGTATATACAAGCATACATATAAATATGCGTGCACAAATTTGATTATCACTGCATAGAGCTAGATATAGATAGAATACTGCTAAATAAAACATTAAATAGTACGTTTTTAAAAGTTAGAGTACTTTGACATAAAATCAAAGACAGCACAAACTTTATACAACGTGGTTAATACCTAGCTTACGTTTTAACGTAGCAAAGCCAACATGCACCTAGACGTGCGCAGCAACACATGTCGAAAATAAGCAAACTTCCGTCGCCTGACCGCACCGCACGCCCGCTGACCAATATACTGACCAGCGGTGACGAAATACCAACCCCCGTACCATCTCCTTCCCTCCCTCTTCACATATGTGTACAGACACATCTCATATGCATACACACAGACGCACACCGCTTGAACTAATGCCAAACAACAAATTTGGGACATTTGTTTACAGTAGCCACGTTTTATTGACTAATTTACAAGCTTTCATTTTGAAATTCAAAACGCTTATTGCAGCTCTATTATGACTACATTTTATTACAGCTCTATATCCTTAAAAATTATTTAAAGATTATATTAAATTTAGTTACTTTGTTTCGTTAGCTTTTTCAAATTATTTCCATCAGAGTTTCAAGTTTGCTAAAAAAGTGAATGATAAATGCACAATATGTATTAACAAAGCATTCGGTGCTTTTTTTTCGTCTTATTAGCGCTGAAGCCGTATAATTTATCAATACATTTGCCACTTTGTGATCAATATAGCAATTTTATGTGATTATTTTTTGCATGAAATTAAATGCCAAGCAATCTCGTTATAAAGTGTGGAGTACTACTAATGAAACAGTCCCTCGCTAGCTACTTCTCGTGTCGTGCCCTCTTCCCCTTTAATCCCTCTGTGAAATCTTTTTGTTTCCATTTCAACTGCATTTTGTTGCTCTCTTTTGTGATGTCAACTTTTGTATTTTAATTGTCATATTTTCAGTTTTAATTATTTATTTGTCAAGTACTGTAATTTTGTATCCTTTTTCTTCCATTAATCTGCATTATTTTGCTTATTTTGCTGTCGTCAATGTTTTTTTTTCGGTTATTAATTACATTACTTTCTGCAGTAAGCATACTTTTCTGCTATATTGCATTTTTCATTATAATATTTAATTTAAATTAAGATATAAAAGTTAACTCCTCGAATGATTATTCTGGTCCTTCACGAATACTTTCATTTTTGAACTACTAATGATAGACTTTAGGGTAAGGCAGAGGATAAAATATTCCAGTAGTGTAAATATATTCAAACTAATAATTAGTAGAGAAGTAAACAAACATGTAATATAACAGTTCGAAGCGCAATTGTCTTATTCTTTGTTAATTTGTAAATAAATTTATATTTTTTAGAAGGTAATAAGATATGAGAAAGACGTGGTAATATAACGTGATGTCAGGTGTTAAACAAGTAAATGCTAATGAGCTAACCTCACAGTTCGATTCTTTTCTTTTCGATGCAGATGGTGTGCTTTGGTTGGCAGACACCCCGTTACCAGGTGCCCGCGATTTGCTGCAGTATCTCATCACTGCCGGTTGGTTCCATTGTTATTTTATTTTCTTTGAATGAGCTATTTATTCACTTGATAATTACGAAAATTAATTGCAAAATTATTTATAGTAGAAAGTTTTCAAAAGTCGACAATTTTATGATTTTAAGTTTATTTTACAAAGATTGAATATCATACTGTCATTTGATCCTTTTCTGTCTTCACTAGCCTGCACATAGATATTTTGCATGATTAGAGTTGTAAATTCCTCACATTTTATTTCAAAACAGTAAAAAAATAACTATAATGTTTATACTTCCCTACTATCCAAATCTTTGCTGCTTCATCATTTTCATGATATGTGTAATTAATTTTTCAATGATATTTTTCTCAAAGCAGTGATTTTTTGGTGGTGAAGTTTGAAATGTCACAAAATTTGCTAAAAATAATTATTCTAAACTTTACATTTGTATTAGCATTTATGTTTCTCAGGAAAAAATGTCTTCATAACTACAAATAATGCAACTAAAACTTTGGAAGATTACGTGAAAAAATGTAAGCGAATAGGCTTTGATATGGTACCTGATGATCATATCATTTCACCAGGCAAAGTTTTGGCTAATATGCTCGCCAAAGAAAATTCTAATTTGCCTGTGTACATCGCTGGTTCAACCGCTTTACAAGTCGGTTTTGTGTTTTAGCATTACTTTCAGTTTCACTTTGTTTTAGATTATTTCTAATTTTTGATAATTTGAATTTTCATTTTAATATTTAATATTGTAAGGAAATTAATTAATCCACATATATCGAGGTCAATGTTTAGAAAGAATTAAAAAATGAAGGAGTGGAAAGTTTTGGGACAGGGCCTGATCCTATCGAATCGTATACTGATTGCGGTTTTATACATGATATAGATATATCGAAAAGAGTGAGGGCTGTTGTAGCCAGTTATGACATACATATGAGTTATGCTAAAGTAATGAGAGCTGCAAATTATATCAAACAACCAGGAGTACGGTTTTATGCTACCAATGAAGATGCCACAGTGCCCGGGCCAAAGTCAGGTATGTCTATGTATACATCTGAAGAGTATTCATGTTTACAGCTGCAATGAATAGTGAGCAGAGTCAGTTAAATTTGTTATAAATCTAGTGATTTTGTAAAATATTTTCTTTGGAGTGGGGTTTTAATCTCTACATTTTCACTTCTGGTAATGCTTACTCTATCCTCTTCAGTTTTTTATTTCATTCCAGGAGTTATTGTACCAGGATCAGGCGTAAATGTAAAAGCAGTGAAAACTGCTGCGGGTAAAGATCCGATTGTAATTGGTAAACCAGGAAAAGCAATGTTTGAATATATCAGGGACAAGTAAATATTTCATTTATCTTCTAAAAATTTCTGTTTTCGAATTAGTAGCTAATTAATGTGTTGGTATTGCTGCATATCTGTAATATATATTTATAGCTCTTATTGAGTGTTATAAGGTTCTTCAACACATGCCTTACCACTTGTTTAATTAGTTATTTAATCACAGCTTTGTGTTGTAATACTAAACAATACATGATATCAAACAAGACAAAATATCACTGAAAATAGTTTGTTGCAGTTTCGGAAAAATACAGAAATCTTTCCGTTTATTAAAATTTTTATCCAAGAATAAGAAATATAAATAACTCTGGTAGTACTGTGAACTTATTAACTAATTGTTTACGGACTTTAAGCTTTTTAGGTTTAATATCGAAGCTGAAAGAACAGTAATATTTGGCGACAGATGTGAGACTGACATAAAGTTCGGACATACGAATGGCTTAAAATCTGTTTTGGTTGGTACTGGTGTACATGATATTGAAAAAGTAAAAGAATTTGAAAGAGATGGATGCAAAGATCTGATACCAGACTATTATATTCCCTCGTTGAAAGTACTTTTTGATATGTTGAAAAAATAAACTGTTAGTTTATTTATTTATACTGTCTAACAACTTATCATGTTAGAAAATACTGGTACTTATATGTTGTGCTGTCCATCAGTTGAATATAAGAATTCTACCGGTTGGAATATATCTCATGATAAGAGCTTGCAATGTTCTTTACTAACAATGAAAGTCCGTTATTTTTTTGTTTGTCTGATTTTTACATTGTGGAAAGGTTATAAAACCTGAAGTATCTTCACTTTCGATATGTTTTTTCGGTGCTAATATTAATGCATGAATTCCACAAAGTGTAAGAGTGGTTCAAATTTTGTGCAATACGATGAATATAAAGGTGGGTAATTCGTTGGAGAAATGGCGGTACTTCCCTGAAATATTTGTTGACGCAGAATGATCATTTATTATCAGTAAATTAGTACTCGTTCTCTATAATTTACTTGGAGAGAATAATTTTGATAATAGGATATAGAAGCGCTGTGTACATATTCATTTTATTCATCATAAATGAAATGATAAATGTGCGATGATCAGGTTGATACGAATTCTAGCACTGCTGAAATGATAAATAAAACCTAACGATAAATAAGATATAAGTGGAACAGGTGATTTACTATAGCTTAATGATGGGGTTGTTTCAGGCAAATGGATTTCATATCGCTAGCATATAATAAGGGGTGGTATCATAGGATTGAATGCGTGATTCGTCTTCATAAAAGTACTGAATTAACTGAGATACGCAGAGTTAGAGATTTAAATCATCTGATGTAGGTCAGAGATTCGGACCATCGTGACAAGTATTGAAATATTGAGACATCATAAAGACAGCAAACGTGTTGAAAATTGAAGAAAGACTGTAAGTGAATAATGATGTAAAGTAGTTTCTAAGATGTTGGGGAGCATCTGAACTTCAAATTGATTGCAAGAAGCTATCTGAAAGCAGGGAACAGCTAAAAATTGGAAAAAAAAAGAAAGTGAACATTTTGTGGCTTCGCTGATAACAGAAGTTAAAAAGTAAAGTTGGCGTGGCTTACTTCAAGCTAGCGCTCTACTTCCTCTGATTTAACAAATTTTGCATTAATTTGTAGCAGTACTAAATTGCTAAAAGTTATTCATTTTAACTGTTTATCTTTTTATTATCTCTTGTTCATTTTTATTGCCCACTTTTGCGTTTTTAAAGTGACTAAATTTATTATTATTTCTGTTATTATTATTGTTATTATTATTACTATTACTATTATTATTATTATTATTGTCCAAAAGTAATTACAAAATAATTACGATACACAAATTTGATGATGTTCAGTTAACCAAATTTAATTGATAGTAATTTTTGCTTGACAAAAAATATTGAAATAATAAGTATTGAAAGAAAATTTAATTGATGAAAAGTATTGAAGCAATTAATAGTAATTAACTAAAGTGAAAAATGATAAATATAATAAATCTAATATGCAATAAATGATCAATATTATGATATGCAAAGGCTTGAAAATGTTTTATCATTGAAGTAATGAAAAAATAGCAAGCAATATGAACTGAAATAATAGATTGTGTTGTATTCCATTTCTTCTACGCATTCATTTCTTTTTGCTTTTTTTTTGATTAATGTAATCAAATTCAGCTTTATTTTTCAATTTTTTTTCTTGCGACTCACAGCTATAAAATGTTACTAAGTCTCACTTTTATGTAGTAAATGATTAATGATATGTTATTAATTTCGATATTAATTTTCAATTTTGATTCAAGCATTTGTAAAATGAGCTAAGCAGCTATCTAGTATACATTGTATGCATCTGCAGATTAAACCAATATTCAACTCGAATTAGAAGATGTCTGGTTTTTTGACTTCATCGGGTTACGATAGATAATTTGTAAGCAATTCGTCCTAATTTTTAATCGTAATCATATCCACTCAGCATTTTTATTTTAAACGAGTTATCAATTTATTATTTTTTATCTGTATGTATTGTTTTGAAAATATAAAATAAATATTCATCATTAATTTGAAAGAAATTCTAAACTTGCTGAGAACTTTTATAACGTTTTTAAAAAATTCTTACAAGTTATTAGAATTGATTAATTTATTAAATTTTTGTATTATTTTTAAGTTAAGTTATGTTTATTTTTAAGTTAATTTATTAATTTTTTTTGTTAATTTATTAGATTTTTTACATCTTAAACAGAATTAGTTTACTCAAAGCTGAAAGTATTTTCAAAAGTTCAAAAAAAATCGCCAAATACTTGTAAAATTTCTTCTTCTCTCAAGTATTTACTTAGGAAAGTTTATTTTTTGATATTGTTTTCGACTTTTGTTTTCTTCTATTTCGAAATTTTGTTTTCACTTCTACAAGAATTGTTTATGAAATGTTTGTAATCAATCAATATTCTATTTTTAAGTTATGGCTTGTACTTACCTCAAAAATAGCAATCTGAGTATCGATTTTATTATTATATCAATTTATGCAAATTCTAACAATTACACTTATATTTTGTTTTGTTTATTTTACTTTTGAAAGCTTGACAAACTGTGGTTGGGTTGTACTTGAAGCTTGGATAAGAATTTTTTGAGGGTCATTTTAAGGATTAAATTTCGTTACTATGTGTTAAGGTTTAAGTTTTTCATTACTTGACAGTTACTACAATATGTTGTAAATTAATTCAGTATTGTTTTCGTTCGTATTTAAAGTTAGTTTTAGAATTTCAAAAATTTTGGATACTTTATTAATTTACAAGTTTTACACGTTTAGCTGGCTGTTTCTTTATAATTACATTAAGAAGTGTTCAGTATTGTAGTGGAGATATGATTACTCGCATTTTATTGTTTTTAATTTGTTGTTACTATAATTCCGATGACTTACAACTGTTAATTATCATTACAACAAACGACTGTTGTAGTGTTATTTTAGCATTCAAACTATCATTCATAATTTGATAGTGTGATAAGTGTGCGATGGTATCACGCGGTAGGATGACAATATTCGGATTCAATCCTGCCGATTCGTTTGGACCTCTCAGTGTCTCTACTGATGATTATCTGCAAGGTAACTCATTACAAGGTAATTATTTTGTCGAAAGAAAGTAACCCCTAAATTTTTTATTATCATACAAGGTGGGAATGCGTTCCAGTGTTCGTGCTGTCTTTATTTAAACGATATTTGAACTTTGAACTACGGGCATATACGAGATATACAGCTTAACACTACGTCAATATGAAGTCACTAAAAGTAGATTTATTCGCATTCACTTTCATGTAATTGTGAATGAGTTGATCAATTTCAAATTTGGATCTCGAAACTTTATTGGAAAAAATTTGATTCCCAGAAAGTTGCTAATTTATAAATTAGTGCTAGAAAAACACTTTTAATTACTTAATTCCAAAAGATGAAACACCTGAAAGACTTACGCTTAATGATTTAATCAATAGATTTGTGCATGAATTAAGAAAAAAAATTTCATTTTTTCACACGCATTCAATACTATGAAGTGAAAAGGATCGTTGTTTTTTTGAAACGCATCCAAATAACTATCACTTTCCACTTCAATTCGCATACTTTTACTCCATTGTTGCGAAACTGTCATGCGTTTACATGCTACATTTATGCGTACGTCTAAATATTAAGTAAAAGTACATGGCGTGAAAAACTAGCTTGTACGTGGTACGTTAATGCATTTGCATGTACAAAGCAACTTCTACTTCTGTTGAACCATAATTCTGTAATTTAAGAATGATAAGAAGTGACTTATGAATGTATTCACTGCAGTGCAAATTAGTAAAGCAAATGTACACAAATACAAACACATATATATATGCTTGAAATGAATTGAAATGAAATCTATCCTTCAGCGTGCTGTTTACAGTTTTGGGTTGATTCATGACTTTAAAATTTATTTTTTTGTGATCAAATCAAACATTTTGTAAAAAAGAAAAAGACAAAGTTTCATTTACGTGAAAGAATATTTTTGTCAGACTTTTTGGAATATTTTGAATTAATTACAAAAATACATATTCTACTACTCATCTTAAAACGATCTAAGAGGTCATTTTGGCTTTACGTAAAAACTAACCATTTTCTGAAATAAATTTACTTCTAATTATTCAAATACATCCCTCAAATATTGCTATATGTATGTGTGTGTGCGTCTGTGCGTATGCGAGTGTGTTTATGTATGTGTGTGTTACTAAAATTTATCTCAAGAGAAAAGGGAAATAGCAAGAAGAGAAAGAGACAGAGAGAAAGAGAAGTGCTGAAACGAAAAGGGCATGTAGCAGAGAGGTAAGTGACCTCTGAATTATCTATCTCTGTCACGTCTGACTACGCATCTGTCCGAGTGAGAAATTCAGTGAATACGAGGGATTTTCCCATAATTTATGCTTAGATTGTTTAGAATTTCTTAGAGGGAAAATAGTCTCAAAGTATTACTTTCTTCATTTATTACGAGTCTAGCAAATTTTATGAAGTGAAATTAAGAACATGAAGAATTTAAAACGTATTCAATTTATATCGGTAATATTCAAGTAAATTTATTGAATATTATTAGATCACTTTTACTTTACTTAAGGCAAACAATTTGGAGACTTACGATGAGTACATTTAGTTTTCTTGAATTGATTATTAATTATCTTGTCGGTTTTTTATCAGTAAGATTAGAAATAATCAGTTAGGATCACAATTTTAATTTTTTAATATTACATAGACAGTTAGATAGATAAATAGATAGATTGATTGATTGATTGATCGATTGATTGATTGATAGTTGGAGTTATGTGTATATTAAATAACGTTGCTTTATTTAAAATCTCCGAAAAACAAAACTATCGGAAAATTTGAAAGATTAACGGAAAAAGTAAGTAAAAACTTGCGAATAGGACTGCATGCTCAGAATTAGTTAGAAATTCAGCAATTTTGACAATGCACCAGATTATCAAATTAATAACTTGATAGTCTTGTTGGTGATACACTGTGCAAACTATATATATAATGAGAAGGTGCTGTCTGATTAGTCTAAGCTCAAGAATGCAAGGAAAGGACGAAAATGGACTCAGAAAATTGCAGTTTTAATTTAAAACATTGGAAATTCAGTGCTCCTTTAAAAGATATTTCTATCGTTTTTTATTCTTTATTTTATCAGCAATTGCATTAATTATTTATGCTCAAATGATATTTTAAATACATACGCTTTTTTGAAAAAATATATGAAAGTGAATTCAATAAAAATTAGCTATTTATTCAAATTAGTATTACAAGTAACTGCTGGTTGCTCATGAGAAAGCCAGTTTTAAGTTCTTTATATTAAATAGTGAAACTTTTCGCTGCACAAAAAAGCTTAAATATGTCAGAAGGAAAAGTGAAGATTGGAAAATGAAAAAGATATATACATCATATCTATCCATATCTGTTTTAGGAATATTTCAGGTGGAAGCTTAACTTGAAAGCTAAAATATGCACTGAAAGTTTCAACGCAGTCAAATAAAATTATTCTTATAAAAGAATTAGATTCAAATTTCGCTAATTTTTTAAGGGTAATTTCAATTTTCAAAGCAAATCAAATTAGCATTATATCAAATGCTTCTGATATGGTTTTTACATAAATTAGTCATGATACACTGTAAAACAATACCACTTTTATTCTCAATATTTAACCATGAGGAGGATAATGATTTACATCGATTAAATTAATTTTTGATCTAATTCTACAAAGCAGGTGTGATCTGAGTCATGAAGAACATGGTTTGCATAAGTCAGATAAGATAGCTGGAAAACCATGAACTGCAATGGCATAATTATGATACCAAATAAGTCAAGCATGATCTAAATTACAGGAAATTGTGATACAAAAAAGATTGAAAAGTGGTAATTAGCATTATTTCTTGTATTTGAAAGTTAGCAAATCATAAAATGTATCGCGAATAAGTAAATTCATGAAAATGTGACAGTACTGTAAACTAATCAAAAAGATTTAAATATAATTATTAAGTAGCATTTATGTGACTTTGAAAATTGCTAAAAGCGCGTAAAATAAGACCCTCAATAATTTGATATAAAGTGAAAGTATTAAAAGTCAGTTCTTCCAGTAAATATTAAAAATGCATTGTAAAAATTTAAATACTATTCATTTTTCTTTTTTACAGCAATTTTCATCCTATTTTCTGCTTAAGTATTTAAGTTTTTATCAAAGTGAATTATTTATTTCATTAAAATCATTTAAAATCCCTTCAAATGCAAATCTTTAATATTATTTTCAATTCACTTTTAGCAGTATTTCAGGATATTAATTAACTTGCATTCAATTTTAAATCTTAGCGTATGACAATTTTTTATCACAAAATTTGAAATTTTCAAAAAAATTGTAGTTAGTTTTGACACAGTTCAAAGTTCAATTATTTATTTATTCAAATTCGATTTTTAATAATTTCTTCTTGTTAAAAAAATTTTTTTTAAGTTTATTAAACTGAAATAATTTAAAAGATATTTTTTCTTTAATAATTAGTGATAACTGTTCAGTTCACCTTTGACCTTACTTTTATAGATCTTTCCTTATCTAGAACATTTGTCACTGTGATTTATTGCCGTTATATTTGCTATTTATTTCATTTATTGTTATTTGCTGCATTTTAGGCTGAATTTGTTGCATACTGAACGGTCAACTTATATTATATGATCTGAATATTATATGATCATATTATATGATCTGAAAGTTAATGAGCTTTAAGTATATCCCTCCTAAAAATCTACACTAATCTGAAATTTGAACATTCTATCTAAAAGTTAAAACTTAAAATTAATTGAAATATTTGTTAATATCTGCAAAAAAACCATTTATTTCTTTTTAGCTAAAAGCAAAATTTTCCCGTAAAGGTCACTTGGGGTAATTGCAATTAAATATAAATTGTCTTAAGGTCATAGCAGAGTTTCTTAAGTCAAAATTTCATTACTTTTTAGCTTAGATTATGTTTAATCCAATAAAATCTTTAATCAAAAATAGCCAAATAAAAAACCCCGATTGCTTATTGCTAGCAAAGCTCAGCTGCTATTGAAAAAATTTCACTGTCTCTATGATAACTTATCACTTTGATATCATCAAATAAAAAGTCAAACATCCAAGAACTGACACTGAAGCACTATTATTATTGCTTGAATATGAAATAATTATTGTGTCAAAGGTTAAGCTGAAATAATAATGCTTAACAAAATTAGCTGTCCAAAAATACTTTCAACGTCGAATTTATTTTGAAGTAAAAAATGAAAGTAATAAAAGTAAAATGCATTTATTTTGTTTTTTAGCCATGCAAGCAGTGGAATAAAATGTGTGTATTGGCTGTTTGCATTGCAGTTTTTTATCTTTTAAAATTGCTGAAAGTGGTACTTTTCAACGCTACCTTAGCACTTTAACTTTAGGTTTTGTAAAGTAAGCGAGCAAGTAAGTAAGTCATTTCCATTTATTTTAGCAAGTAAATTGATAAATTTGCTTTACAAATACTATTTATTTATTTAATAAATTTATTAAAATTATAGCAAAAATATTTGTTTTACTAAAAATATAGTAAAGAAATGCCAGTGCATATTTATAATTTATCTGTTAAAGCGTACCAAAATCTCAATTTTCATCCGTGCAATAAATTTAAATGAACTGAAAAGAATATAATTTGTAAGCAAAATTCAGTAATATAATTGCAGGGCTCATAATACATTTATGATAAATTCAGCATAAATAAGCATTAGCTCTGAAAAAATTCAAAAAAAATTTATTACTAATTGATATGCAAAGTTTTATTTTACAAAAAAATTGAAACTAAGGAATGCACTTTGGATTAGCCGCACTATATATGTTAATATTTGTTAAAAGCTATTGCTATTATTATTATTATTATTATTATTATTTTGGGATGAAATTGTTTTAAACTATTACAGTTTTTTATGGAGTTGCAATTTTTGATAGATATTTGGTGCACTATCTTTAGTATTGTTAAAATAACTGCTTTCTAATATAATAATGAAAGTGTTTTGGTGAAAACTTTAATTAAAACAATAAGCACAAAACGTATTTGTATTTATGGAAGTTAATGTGATGAATAAGTTAAATTATATAGTAAAGTGAGAGTAATTTTTCACAAAAACCAAAAAATGTTTTTCAAAATGACTTTTGCACTCTGAATGTTTTGAACAGACAACTTTTAAATTTGTGTACAGAGAATAATTACATAAAAACTTCAATAATTGACAATCGAAAATTGTTGGAACTGATTTGTCGTTCATAAAATGTAAAAATTATACACGAATTTGCTAGAGTCAAAATTTGAGACTTAAAAAAAGATTAATTCATAAGAAGGCTAGAAAAATTTTAATAATTGAAAAAAGCCTAGGAGTTATTTTTAAAGTAAGAAAAAAAGAGCAAACTTAAAAGTTTCTTTCAATTAAGTAAATAAATCAGTACGCAATTTGCGTGCATCCGATATCTTCAATCTTTCATGTGCATTTTTGCACAAGAAAAATGTCTAAAATTAATTAATCATTTACTTTTATCTTTTTAGCGCTTAAAAAGTGAATTGCTTTTTTAGTTATAGTAATTTTAATATTTAAATTACTAATTATTAAAGAAATTACCACTTTTTTGCATTATAATTTCTACAGAAGGCATGAGCGAAAGTGTAGAAGAAGCTCGAGATGCTCAGTGTGCTACCAATTTTCGAGCGTTTGATGATATTCGAGCTTGGAGCAAAGCAGTCGTGGTGAGGTCTTATTAGCTACAGTAATAGTCGTACATAATTTGCATATTACAATACACAGTCATGATGTGATCTATGTTAATTGTTATTCTATAAATATTAAGCAATAATACTTCAAAAATTTTTATATTCCATTTTTCTTGTTTATTACCCAATTAGTGCAAATAAGTTTAATAAAATCTGTAAATGTTGATTTTCTACTCAACACTTAGGTGATATTAGCAGAACAAATGTTAATTATAATGGTCATCCCTAGTTAAAATAATTTTTGTATATTAATTGAATGGCCATCCCTAGTTTGTCTTCAAGTAAGCTTCAAAGTTTAACTACTTCGATGTAAAATCTCAAAGTAAAGTAATTGAGTTATTATCAAGATGAAAGATTAATAACTTGATTAATTTCAGCCTTGGTCCGACTTTTTCCGCTTTTCACAGTTTGCTTTACCACGTTGTATCCACGGATATATTAAACGTGTGAAGAAAAATCTTAGTCGATTTCTGGCAAATTATGCAGTTATTAGCGTCATCGTATTGGTATGCTTCATATATTCTATTATGTACTGGCATTACAGTATTTTTACATAGATTATTATTATTATTGTTATTATTAGCAGTAGTATCAAAACTGCCTTATTAATTCTAATTCGTTATTTAATTTTTTTAAATATCATAATTCTATCTGTTTTGATGGTAGCTATTGCTCATCCACAGCTCATCCTATATATAATATAATAATATTTTCCTATCATATATAAGTTATTATTTAAAAGTTTTGTGGATGATAGCTAAAAATCATTTCTATTATTATTCTATTCCAATATTTCCATTATTATTCTGTTCTAACAGCATGAGAATATGACTGAAAATCCCACAAAACACAAAAAAGTTCCTTGAATATATTTTAATCACTGTTCTTTACTTTAGCTTTGCTGCATTATAACATCATTTTGGCTCATGGTTTCTTGTATTGTGCTTGGAATATTTGTATATGCTATCTACAGGAAAACGAAATATGGGCCTATTAGAGTAGGCACTGAGGAGGTGACATTTTGTAGTTATTACTTTCCTCTTTTCACAAAGAGTGAAATTTTTCTGTAATAGAAAGTAAGTAATATTAAGTAACAATGTTATCATTGTCAGATTTTCTAAATTTATTTTATTTTATTACATATTTAAACATTTTTTTATTTCTGTCAGACATTTTATTCACTTAAAAATGAAAATTACGTCAAAATCACTTTTGTTTTAATTAATTCAAAATAACAAAAAAAAAATTGCTTATAGTGTGTCTATGCTGAAAAATTTTTTGCCACAAAATGTACAAACAATAATTGCAAGTCTTAGCACTAAATATTCATTTTTTGCAGATTCCTACGTGGATTTTGCATATTGCAGCAATTTTTATAACTTTACCACTGTTCATCTACGCTGGTGTTGGATATATACTTTACTGTGCAATAGGTTTGTTATGTATTCAAATTTTACACATTAATGTATTGTAATTTTAAATTTGCTTACAATGAAATTGATAATAATTCTATTCAGTAAATCAGTTAGTCTATCAATCAGTCGAATGATTGATTAGAAATTTAGTAGTAATCATTTAATATCTGTTAAATATCTAATCTAAAATAATCTAAAATTGAATAGTAAGGATTGTGATAATACATCTTTTCAGTGTTCAGAATTTTTCACTTCCAAAATTAATTAATTAATTGGTTAATTAATTATTCACTCAGTAATTCACCTCTCAAATTAATTAATTAATTAATTAATTGGAGCATTTTGAACGATTTTTTTCAATAATTCTTTATTTTGTCTGCAAAAATATTTTTAAATTTGAAGGAAAAAGCTTTTGAGAATTATTTTATTCAATTTGCAGGAATTGGTGTATTGTTAGTTTTAATACATGCATCATTCTACAGCAGTGAAATACGCTATCTACCTGAAGAAAACATAGAAATAGTCACAGAATTGAATAATCAACCACGTTTAGAAAATGATAAACCACGTATAGGAAATGATAAACCACGTTTAGGAACTGTTGAAGTACTGGAATCAACTTCAAGTACTAATAGTTTTTCTCCCAAAACTCGAGTGAGATTCAGTGATGATAGTAGTAGTACTGATCATTGATGATAAACAGAAATTACAAGCATTTGCACTGCGAATTATGTAGACTTAAGTGCTATCAATTATTTAGTTATTAATAAAGCTATGTGATATATTTGATTGGCGCTCATATGAGATTAATAAGTTAATCATTGTTCCAAATATAAGGTAAAATCTGCTTTAGAAAAGATTTTTTCAGAATATACCTTAAAATATCCCAAAGATCACTTAGTTTGTTGTGTTAGATAGTTTGAAATCCTACTGAATTGAGTGAAAAAATTTTCATTATTAGCTGTGTTATAAAAATAAGATTGTTTTAGTTATTAGCATGATATGATTTATGCAAAATAACAAGTGTATCCGTGTCAGAAAAATAATTGACCTTTGCTGCCCTTATAAAATGACAATGGACCCTGGTCAACCTCTATGCTACTGTGTAAAAACAACAGCTGACTCTTGTCAACCTGATAGAAAAATAATTCATTTGGAACATTTTGTTCAGAATAACCAGTTCTTATAATTTATCTTTGCTAATCTATTTGAAATCAAAATTCTTCAGTGTTATCTGATTCTACTAAAAATATGCTAAAAAATGTCTTAAAAAACTTTTTAAATCAAGCACTCAATAATTTTGCCGGGAAAATTTTTAAACCTTATAAAATGCTTATTCAATTTCAAACACTTTACTAAGAAAGAATTGAAATATTACAAATTCAAATTTTGCGGAACATTTATTTGAAAATTTAAACATATTTAAAAATATTCATACTTGTTGTGCTTGCAGTTAAGAGAAATTATAAATTGAAAATAATTTTTAATCGTATGAAATGAAAAAATTGAAACGAACCATTAATTGTATACAAAAGTAATTTGAAAAGAACTAATGTCAGAATTCAATGTAAAAAAACCATTTAAAGAGTAAAAAGGTATACAGTAAGTTACAAATATATACTTAAATGATAGGTTAATCTGAGCAGTGTTATTGTATATTACTGTATAATTACTATGCCTAATTTGCAATAACTTTACGGAAGGAACAATCGCTTGTGAATATCATTATACTGCAAGCAAGCATTGCATTCTCTTACATAGATCGTGTGAATATTCCTTCCATATTATAATTACTATATTTATTTTTAATTTTCAAAATTTATTTTCTAAAAATTAACTCAATATTTTTCTTATTTAACTTTCGTTCTGCTAATTAAATTATAATATTTTCTTCAGACTATTTCCTCAATTTTTTTATGCACTGAAAATTTAACATTAATATTATGGTTAAGTTTTATGATATTTAAAGAAAACAAAGTATTTGTAAAGACTTTGCAGAATTTTAGTACATTTCTGACCGACCTAAAATTACAGTTAAATGAGAGAAGTAATTTACAGATTAATGAAATCCCTCAGATTAGATCAGTGATCATCACATAGTGATCAATCAGAACAGGTCTATGATCTTCTTGCCATCACTGGGAGAAAGCGTTGATTTTTACACGATGGTGAGTGATGATGTAGCCGAGATGTCTACTACTGTAATTATTAATTGACAGTTCACTTGCAAGCAACCTGGATTTGAACTCACAATACATTCCTGCTATAGTTGAGAATGTGCATTAAACTACCACTAACTTAGCTAAAGTTTTTAAAAATAAGTATTATCACAAAAATATATTTAAAAAACAACTGCAGTGATGAAAAATACTTAATTACTAATTTAATTAACAAGACAACAAGGAATTAATCCTTTGACAAAGTCACTTACATCATTAATCAAGCAGTGATTACAGCTAATTCTAACCAAAAAGCTCAAATGCCATGAAACAAAGAATGAAAAAACAATTTATTGCTAATAGCAGAATAAATAAAAACATTTAACAATAATATATTATATTATTTCAAGCACAAAAAAAATATTAATTAATCGTTTGTGAAATTTTAAGGTCAAAAGTACACTTAAAAAATGCGCACTTTTGATTTTTAAATGATAATAATATGTCGTGTAGTCAGTGATAAATCAGTTGATAATACAAGTGATAACGCAACAAATCATCTGCACAACTTCAAATTCAAATTAAATTTAATACATTTATTCAAAAAGATATAATGATTTTATGCAAATGAAATAAATTATATGAAACAGATAATACAAAGTACTGACAATGCAACCCTGTTGTATAAATTTTTAAATAATCCAAAAACTTTTGCTCACTTACACAAATAGTACTCATTGCAGTATTAAAAAGTAATAATGTACAATAATAAAAACAAAGTTATTTAGAGAGTACTGATATTTTAGCATAAAGTACAGTAGTAAGAAAACGAAAAACAAGTTTGCATGTCAGTCTATATTCACTGAGATAATTGTACAATAATCAAATTCAAATTTTTGAAAGAATCAATAATTCTCATATAATACTGTAGCATTATTTATGATAACTAATATAAATATTATTTTTAAAACGGCTGGATAAGTTATTATGTGTAATCCAGTCGGCGCCTCACTAATACCTTTACGTTCCTTTCGTCTTATCTTACACCAATGTGATATGTGATGTTATGTGATAGCATGTGATCTGATCTGATCTTCTGATGGCTCGTTTACTGCTACTTCACGTTTATCCCGTCGCTATTTATAAGTGATTCTTTATTCTTTGACATCTTTATAGTCTTTAAATCGAGAAAAACAGTAGTGATGGTATTGTCAAAGCCAGCCAGCCAGCACATGCTTGCAAGTGCAATAAAATCCATCTCCTTAGTCACTACTGTCTTCGAATAAATCATTTTTACAACTTTTCCACTCATATTTCTATACTTTCATATATAAACTATGCAAATTATTTTTTTTCACATAAAAAACTATTTTTTCTTTATAATTCCACTGTGTTATTATTATTATTAATATTATTAATAATTATTGTTATTATTTGCAAAGTTATCATTAAGTATTCATATCGCTTTTCTCTTATTGTATTTGCAGTTAGAAGACAGCATTTTTTGCTAATTAATTTTAGTTAATTCAATCTTTTTCCAAAGTGATTTATGAGAAAATTTTTGATTACAAAAAATATTCCGTCAAAAGTATTTGAAAAGAATTATTTTTTAACTATATCTGTACATTTTGTCATATTACTTTGCGAATGATTTATGCTTCTGTCTTCTTTACTGCCTGCTTGCTACACTTCAAGTACTGGTGAATGCTTTATGCAAATTTGATACATTGTACTTCCTTAATCGATATGATGAACTCTGTTGAACTCACTCAAAGATTTTTCTCAGATCAAAATTAATAATTCAAAATATTTTGAATTTAAAAAGTGTGCATTTTCCATCCATCTCGACAAGATACTGACTTAATAGAAGCGAAAGTTTTAAACTGTTCATACTAATAACTTTAACTTTTAGATTCTTACTGATTAAAATGTGCTTTTTTCAAAAAATTGTATATATTTAATAATATTATGCCTCTATGCTTCACTTTTTTAAACATTTAAGCATGAAAATTAAAGTATTTTGTATAATTTTTTACTCAACAAAATTTGGAAAAAAAAACTTTTTACTTAATTATTATATTAATAAAAAATGCAAAATAAACTAACATTTTATTCATAACAAATTAGACAATATTTACAGTAATAATTAGCTTCTTATTATTTCAGCAAAGATTCGAAATTTCGAAGAATATATTTCGGAGAATGAATTTTAATATGCGTTTGTATAAATTTATCTGATCATCTGCTCAGTTTTGTTCTGAGGGAAAACACACTACTCAGATGATAAAATCCCACTTGAAACCATACCAAACATTGTTTACATTTCCACAATCCCAACATCATAATCCAATTCTTGTAATCCGATTGTCCAATTACAATGTTATTTATTCCCAGTCAAATCGCTCCGTACTTCACATATTATACTTACTACAGTATCTAAACTAAATATTCTTAAAGGTATCTAAATCACAGATTCTTAAAGGTAAACTTTGATGAAGTTTTTTGATTTATACTTCTAATAAAAAATCATTAATGACTACTCTACTTGAAGTTAGGTATTCCATTGCAGTAATTAAATTTTCGTCATTTTAGATAATTTTGTACAAAAATAATAGCTAAATAATAATAATAATAATAATAAATAATAATAGTAAGTTTTGTTTTATCAACATTTTAACATAGTATTAGATCGAAATTTTTGAAAAATTATATTATTATTCGAAAAATTTCGTAAAAAATGGAATTAACCAAAAAGTAATTATAAGCCAAAATTTGATTGACTTTATTATTCTAACATTTGAATACTCACGTAGAAAATCATAAAATATTTTTGAAACAAAGCGTAATAACAAAGTAAATTTTCATTGCCGAAGAAATTATGCAATTGTTTTTGATTTTGTCTGAATGCATCGCAAAATTATCATATTTTAATTTAAAAATTTTTTTAATATTAAATTTTTAATATTAAATTTTTTAATATTAAAATTTTTTAATATTAAGATTCACCGAATTGATCGAAAATAATTCCATTACCTGTCATATTCATTATCGAATATGAAGTAAATACACAGTACTGAAATTGCATTATTATTATTAATAAATAATTTTTTATTTTAATTTTATTATTTTCTTGTCATTGTCATTAATAATTTAAAAAAAAAACAATTGTTTAAGAGTGTTTAATTAGGTTCTATTTAAAAATCGCCTAATCTTGAAAACTTTTACACTTAAAGAG